CTTGCTCAGGCCATTATACATTATAATATATTATCATTATTCATCTAACACTTTAATTACCAATATATTTTTTCGTTTTTATGTCTTTATCACAGAGACAAATTAGCACAGATAAAGTATTACCAGTAACCAACAGCTTCATTGAGTTTAATTAAGACGATTTAAACTGCGAACAAATAGCAATTTTGGTAGATAAAGTGTCATTGAGATTAAATTAAACGCCAAACTCGCTTCCTTTAAAAAATGAATTAACTCATTGTGATGTCACTGTTATATAATAATATGACAGTTTGGTTTCGTGTGGACTATAGGTAGTGTAAATCTAATTAAAATGCTTTCCTATGTAATCAGTATAATTAGTCACAAATCTTCCTTAATCCTCACCTAATTAATATTCAATCACTTGGCGAATTAAATTAAAAAAAATCACAACATACATATAGTAATAACACTAATCATTGAGATAGACTCAAATTTTCAATATCTGAATCATCCTCATTCCCTCAAGACCAGCAAGCACATTCAATTGCATATCCTCCCAAGTACACATATAATCAATTAAACTAGTTCCATGTCTCTGTCTCCCATATCGACAAAATTCCCAGCGTCGGCAATAGTTTTGGCCAATTAAAGAAAGGGACGCATAAATAAATACAGCGTTTTATTGGGTTAATTTGAGTTTAGAATTAAATTAATAAGCATAGGTTGGATGAAAAGCCAAGGTATTGGGTGGAATGTGATGCGTGTGTTTGTTTACTTTATGCTTTAAAATTAAAGAAGAAAGAAGAGATTCGACGTTCCCTTTAATCCATTGATTAGTATTGAATAGCTCGATTACAATTGACCCATATATACAGTGATAGGAAAACTATATACAAATTATTAAAGTTTGAGTATTTCAGAGAAAGCTGCCTAAGACGACAAGAACAGAAAAAGAAGAAAGCATCGTCGGTGGAACCGTAGAGTATATGAAACAGCAACATTTTGAAGGTCAAGAGATAAAGCTGATCGATGTGGGGCTCCGTGGCCACCTCTCTGGTCATAATATTATCGATGAGATGATGATGGTGATGATCTCAATATCGTCTCCATAACTTTTATAAAATAAAATAGTTATTGAACATATAAATATATAGTAGGTATTATTGTTTTATTTTGTGTTATATGAATTGAATGATTAAAATAAGAGAAGGGGAAGAGGGTAAGTGAGTCAGAGCTTTCATTTCAGATAAGTATGTCTTTATTAGAATAACTGGACATGGCACCTTATTCTACACCCATTATAACTTCACTTCTTACGCTTCAATCTTAAGCTTGTCCTCACCTTTTCTTCTTCCTCACTGTGTTGACTGATCTGTACACTGCATCACAGAACCAGAGCTCCCAGGAAAAAAAAAAAAAAAGAGTAGCCCGAAGACTTAGCACAGAAATATATCATCGCCCCAAAACAAGGACCATGGGTAGGGATACATACACGCATACATCTGTCTTTGATTCGAATTAATTAGTTAGTTCATTTGTAATTAAACGTGCTTTTTTAATATTATGTTGAACCGTTGACACGTTTGAATCAGTGTTAATTTGAATTAAATTGGGCTTACCATTGACGGAGGCAAACTCTTTTCATCAATAATATATGCTCAGTTACTTTAATATCATATTATATGACGTTCAATTTGATGCTGTATGCTAGTACCTGATTAAACTATTTCATTATTTAAAAAACACCCCCACAACGAGGCATGTATATGACAATATGTGCATTTGCATCAGCACGAGGTTCTTGTTTTTGTTGCTTTTGTGCCCCCTTTATTGCATCTAAGCTGGTATCCAATTCTCGACGGGGTGCTTTTCATTCACTTTGGATTCTTTATATTTGTATACACTTTTTCAAGAATTATTAGGCTGATAATGTTTTGTCCACACGCACAAACACACCAAACAGAGAGATTCAAATACCTAGCCAATCACGAGCAGAAAAGCTTAATCAGCATATATATAATTTGCTTGATTACATAAAATGCAACCCATCTCTATTCCTTGGCGAAGTGGATAAATGTGCGTACTATATAACTAGGCTCTAATAATAGGATGCCGCCATCGTTCTTTGGATTCATGAAATTAACCAATCGAAACCAGTTAAGGATAAGAAAAGATCGATGCAGATGAGATTGGGTTCAGATTTTGGCTTCACGTAGACGGATCCTCCACAAAACAATCATGAAGACGTATCCATATCCATCCACACACATGTACTGCTACTGATACTATTTCTTCCATCAGAAGATAAAATAAATATCCGAGCCATTAATAAACTTGGACACCCATGTGAGGCCAGCCATGTGTACTCCATCCACATGGAATGTGATGTGCTTTTTAGCCGAAGATTTGGACCAGAACAGCAGGTAGGACAACATATGAGTGTGTCATGAAAGCTAGCTTCTACGTGCTGATCATGAGAACAACTGCCAATCCATGTGGGAACAAGTCCCATCTTATATATATATTTGTTTTGCCTAAGAAAATATTCATCTGCATAAACATGACCTTTTTAATTAAGATAATACTGTCAAACTCACTTCTGTATATAATTCTTACAAACTAGAAGGCCCATAAAATACATTAGAAATCATAAAGATGCTGCAAAAAGACAAAGGGGATGCGTGGCCATATATATATAAGAAAGTTGGGGTTTCCCTTTTGGTGGTAAAAAAAGGAAGAGTGAAGAAGAAAGAAGGAGAAGACATGTTGGAGGGACAGGCTGGAGAACAATGATTGGGGGTGGGGAGGGGGGTTTTCCCAGTTTTGAATATTACGCTGTCAGGGCATATGTTGTTGTCGTCGTTGTTGTTGAGTTTAAGAATTTGAGAGACTGGGAAGTGACGGTATTACACTACGCACAGTCACATAAGTACATGACTCAACAACCACCCTGAAAAATGTCTCACATCTCTCTTTCAAACCCAAATGACTATGTGGCAGCCAAGAGGTCACTTTTTGCTTCCACCGTTCAAAGTCCTTCATCCTCAAGTTAACTGTCGAAGTCTCTGCTTCTTGCTTGTTCCCAACCAATTAAGATGCTTCTTTGCTTCTAATAGAAAGCTCACCCTGATCTCACTTCTCAACCCCCCCCCTTTCTAGTTTTGTCTTCTCTTATCGTCTTTCACTTTCGTCTTTTCTCATCAGTTTCTGCTATGAACCAGACTCAAAAGTGATATTTTTTGTTGTGTATTTTTAAAATTGGAAAAAATAGAGACTTTTTCTTTGTTTAAAATTCAAATTCAAAACCTGAGTCCTCCAAAAATGATCATCCTATAAAAATGTGGGTAAAAGTACAGAGAGTTGAAGTGAAAATTGCGTCGTATAAGGCTCATTCTCATTAAGCAGGCGCAGGACAGAGTAAGAGAGAATATAATGGATATAATATAGATGTAGTTAAGAGTAGTAAAGTGTACTTTGAAGACTATTATTATTTGCATATATATATGTATATATTTGTTATCATTAGGGTAGAATTTCCCATTTCAGCATTGCACACAGACACAAGTAAAAGGAACAACCTTTTTGTGTGAAACTTGGGGTTTATTTAGGGATTAATAAAACAGCAGAAAAGGAGTCGCCACCGATCGTTGAATGACATCTCTGACTTTTATTTTAAAAACAGCGAAGACATAACAACCATCTACGTTGCAGACTACCCTCTGAAATTTCAACAACAGCCCTTTCATTTTTTTTTTTTAAAAGAAAACAATTTATAGTGCGGAAAGTCAGATGATCTTAAATAAACATTTCTTTATGAAACGTGATCGATGATGATGACTAGCATCCACCCAATTCACTTGGTCATTCGTCCCTTGTCGGTATGGTGGTGTTCATCGACCTACATTACAGAATATATATATATATATTCTAATTTGAAGTTTGACAATATCCGAATTCAACCTTGCGGAACTAAAGTGGGCTTTTCCTCACTATTCATTTGGGCTTTGGAGAAACAAAGCCCATCTCACTCTTCATGCCGGACAAAATTGGTTAGAGAAGCAGACACTCGCTTTAATCATGAAATATTTAGCCCAGTCTTAAAAGCAAGAGGACCATTCAAATCACGAACTAAGGATACTGGCCCTCGGGTTCATGCGTCCGTTCAAGTATAATTTTATGAAAGAATCAAAGCTTTTAAAGTTGCGCTGCTTGAACATGCAGTGATAAATACTAGGGAATAAGTCCAGATTGAATTATACCAACTCGATTTATATATAACACAAACGATCACTCTTCTGATCCTTAATATAAGATCTGATTATTAAATTAATTTTGATTCTAAATATAAAACCTATTTTTTAATTTATCAATTTTTTTTAAATTGCCCTTATAGATACTTCATCAACCACAATCAAATAGTTACAGGAAGAGTATATTAGAAAGATGATTATGGTGTTTTAGGAAAAACATATCATATTTTTTATAATTAACTAATCTACCTAACTTTCTTAATCTAATCAAATTAATTAAATAGGTCTTATATCAAGAATCAAAAGAGTATTTAATGGGAAGTTATTCTAATTAATTAACTCAATCATCCAAAATATAATCTTAATTATTTTATTATTTTATAACCCCTGTTCTTTTATTATTTTATTATGGATGCCTTGTCTTTAACTTACTATTATTTTTCAAAGGAAATTGGCCACGTAGATTAGCACAAGGCACCCGGCACCTTATATGGCATCCTACGTGGCTTTGACCCAAATACAACCACAATCTTTCCATTGGATCCGTTAATCAATGTGTTCGATTTTTGCTGCATTCAAATTCCAATCCATCGCTTTGACCCCCAAAAAAAAAAAATTCCAATCCATCACATTATGCAGCCGAGCGCAACAATTTGCCTCAGGTCATATAACGCAAAGGATGAACACGATGACTTGAGAAGGTTCTAAAAAATTCTCACGACTTTGACTTTTACAAGAATTTCTTCTTGGACCTAGAAACAGGTATCATTCATGCGTCAAAGGTACCATTAGCCTCAGAACGCTACTGAGAGAAAACTCATGAATGAGCGGGCATAAGTGAAACAGCAAACCTTAATTAACAAACTTCTACGAGTAATAGGTGATAGTCTCTGATACATTAAAGAACTAGAGATCAAACAAAAAGATGAGTCCTCATTCCTCTCTAATTTCACACAAATATCCTAATACAAAGAAAATTACACTAGAACAAAATAATCTGGTTGTCAAGCCAAAAGGTACCAGTTAGTTTCATTCTGTTATCATGTCAGCCTCCAAATCACCTGAAAAAAAAAATAACTGGTGCTGATGATAATAATGTCAGAAAATACCCCAGCTGACACGATGCTGATTGATTTTGAAGAAGTGTACCTAAAATATCTATCGGGCAGGAAGAGATATGTTGATGTCCGGGTATGACCGTTGATCCGACAAGTGTTGAGAACCGTTCAAATGCTCATTCGCGGCGAGTATCTGAGTTCTGTTTATGGTGAGTGACATCCTCAAATTCTGTCGGGCCTTGTTCTGGTATCTGGGACGTTGGTTTCAAACAGGCCTCACCATTAGGATTTTCGTGTGAGACAGGCCTAGCTGCCATCCCTGCGTCTGGACCACCTGAAATAGGAGACGCCGCTGTGTGTTGTCGGTGCTGTTTCTTTTTATGTTTCTTATGGTAACAACCATTTGACATGAAGCTTCCCATAACAATCTGAAATCCAATCCAAGAAGATAAGCTGAAAATTCTATGTGCTAGGTGGATTCATCATTCATGGGTCGGAAGTTGAGGAGAGTCATTAATATAATACCTGGATTGGACTAGCTGCTGTCAATAAACCAGCAACACCACCTCCAATGACTCGCCCCGTCCGGGCCAGCCAGTGAGACGCTCAACCCACCGGTCCTGCTTGTCGCCACTACCATTGTCGTTCATTGTGAATGACCCAGACAAAGATAAAATCTCAAATCGACCCTGCAAAGAAATAAGGACTAAATCATTCCACAATGCCTAAGCTTTGGAGTTTGTTCTTAGACAGGCAATCCGAAAAAATGAACTTTGAAATTCTGATTTGGGGCATAGAAATATGAATTTGTGAAACTGCAAACTGCAACAGAGTTGGGAGGAGAGAGATCGTGGCCTCGTAAGTCAAAAGCCACCGGAAGAACCAGGTTGGCGCTTGAAACATTAGAGATAGCTCCATGGCAGAAAGAATGCATATTCCTCTGGGACCGTTCTGGGCGAACGAAGAATTCCGGCAACATCCTGCTAGGTAATAATGTAAAGTATCCATCATGTGTCCTATATTATAGCGTGCTATGATCTGAATCTAATGTAGATGACTAAGTATTCACTTGGGTTTTTGCATTACCTCTCCGGTATGAACAGTCACCACATGAGGCGTAAAATCCCCACCAGCTGTGTCAGCGAAAAACCCACCTTCAAAGATGTAAGGCAGATGTTATAAGAAGATCTGTTTTCTCAGACATAATTTCATGCATATAGGATTGTATCAGCATACATTTATGCCGTGCACGAACGGTCTGGTTCAACTCGTTTTTTTAAAATCACAGTTCGTCGCTGGAAAAAAAATTGGAAACCCGACCATTTACTTGCATACAAGAAAGTTCGCTTCTTTTCAGCGATTATGAGCCCCAACTCACCGTTTGTCCAGCCAAAGATTAATTCAGGCAACTTCTCACCCCAGAGACAGAGGAGGTTCAGGACTTGAACTTGGAAAAGGAGCATAATATATATCGAAGTAAATGTAGAGCGAAACTCACCAAAGGATGCAAAGAGGTGGGGAAGAGGCTTGGGTCGAGCCTTTTTGGAGGAGAAAGAGAAGGCAGAGCCAGACTGGTTCTGGTACGACTTCGTCAAATTGCCATCAGAGTCGTATTTTTCTGGGCCTTCCTCTCTTCTTCTTGCCCAACAAATCAAAGATGCCTTGGCCGCCACTCGCCGGCGTCGTGACGGGTTCTGCGACCACTATTGCTCCTGCACTATTATTCGCCACGTCCGTCTTGGTTACTTGAGGCAGAAACGTCGTAAGAGGTGTGGGGTTGAAGCCGACACACTTCCTCCATTAGAGTACTCTACAGAGGTTGTCTGGGTGTTTCGCAGGAATGAGCAGCGACAAGGGAGGTGAATGCTTTGAGTTTGAGGTTTGAACAATGATGTCCCTGGGAATGGCGCCACAATTACCAGGACGCAGAATTTATGTTACCTCATAGGCTTGCTTTCTTCATGAAAGAAAACCAGACTCATGCCATCCATTTTCTTTCCCCACTGCACTGGTGCGCCCCGTAAATACGGAAATTACCTTGGAAATAATCAATTTAAATATATCCAGAAATTGTTGAAATAATCAAATCACGCAGACAAAAAAAAAAAGAAGGTAATAATCAAATTACATTTTCTGTAAATACACTGTTTTTATATTCTGTGTTGAAAAAAAAAACCACCAAACAAGCCACTTTAGGCTCTAATGGCAATTATCACGTACCAGCAATTACAGTCTTCATTGGAATTAAATCGTCGTTTTAAATTATAACTTAAATCTGCACCTAAACTTTTGTCATGGGAGTATGGGACATTTACTTTTACACCTGGGCGAACAAATTCCCATGGCCTGTTCTGGTATTTATGGAAATCCAAATTGACCCCCGCTTAACTGAATCAAAAACATATATTAGAAAACGCGGGAAATTTTTTCCCCCCTCATTAATATGCCTCCACTAGACAGATGGCTCCAAATGGAAAAAAGTGAATCAGATCAATTGGACTTTCATAATCACTCGTGTTATGCAATTATCAACACGTTATTGCATTGATTATTGAAGTATTGCCCAGTAATGTTGCATTAGTTAAGCTGACATAGTATACAATAAGGTTGACAACGGTAAACGTCGAAAATAATATGAGCACCTTTTTATCAAAAGAAAGAATCAAGCTGCATTAGATTTTTTTCATTAAAAATCATTTCTTTTAAGAATAATCTCCTGAGCATATACTATAATTTAGAGAAGCAGTGAGCGGATAAAAGGAATTTAATCTATTACCGGAGTATGATATATTTTGGTGCTTATAAATCGAAATATATAAAATATGGCAAAAAGAGTTAAAGGTTTACTCTCGGTTACGAATATTCTTTTCTTACCAGATAATCTTGTTATGGGGATAGGGATACTTTTTCAACATCAAAAGAATTTAAAAAAAACAAAAACCGAGTTAAACGGAAGCAAGTCACCAGAGGAACATTTTGGTAACGTGAGGGCGATGCTGCCGCTTTTAACTGAAAGAAACAAAAGTAATTTTTGGCCCAAAAAAATGTAACAATTATTAGAGTTTGGAGGGATTCTTGGCTTTAAAACAAACCCTGCCGCGTAAACGGCCCAAAAAAAAAAATTGCAGTTATAAAATATACGAGTAACAATAATTAAAAATTCAAGTCTCTTTGTCACGCTTCCAAGCTTTAACGGAATTTGGAATATATATTTTATTGGTATCACCAGACTCTAATTTTAAAAGATTAGTTATTGGAGCACTTCCTACCGCTCTAGATTTAAATATACTCTTTGACTAAGGTAAGCAAAATAACAATCGCTTGTTGAAATTCAAGAGATGATAAAATCAGTTTTCTCAGAGCATAAAATAAACGAAGCTCACATGTCTTTTAGACCTTAGAATTGCAACCGGCCTAAATTAAGATCCTTATTTTTTTTTTATTATAAGAATTAGTAGTTAGAGTTTATCAAAAAAAAAAGAATTAGTAGTTAGAATCATAACCAAGTTCTGGTGTCTGTTTAGGTAAACATGAAAATCAGAGCAATTTTTAGACACTTAACAATGTAGCTCATTTTTAACGTGAATAAAATCGACTCACATTAAGAATACAATAGAGTATAGTATAGTTTAATTTTAGGGAGAATTAGTCATTCATTTAAGTGAGAAAATTAAATGCAAATATATTCCTGAATTTTATTTAATACCAATATGTTTAGAAAAATTTAGTATTTACGATTCAAATTTTTATATTTACGAATTGAGTCATATGATTTACAAATCAAATTTAATAACTGGCAAAAAAAAAATCAATAATTTTATGTTTGCAAGACAATTTTTCACGCTTACGGGTTAAATTAACTTATTTATAAGTCAACCTCGTAAAATAAAATCTCTTAGAACTCGTTTAATTAAATAAAATTCAGATATTTAAGTTATACTTGAAATCCATCATTAATTATTTCTAATTTCAATGTATTATTTGTGTATTATTCCTCATTAGTATTCTATTTAACTGAGAACGAATCAGTATAGGCCACCAATGTTAAATGGAATTGAAAAATAAATTGTATCCTGCTACTTTTGAATTACAACTGTAAAATTTTCAAATTATATATTCGTATATAGATCATAATAATTTACAAAATTGTTGTTGATTTAGTAAAAACACGTGGGAGAGACTGGGGGAGTCTCGATCAATCCTCAGTCCTCAGAAATAAGAGGATATTTTTATAATTAAATCCTGAGATTTAACAATCAAGACTCAACTTTCTATGTTTACAATTTAAAAATAATTCCCATTTTTTCAACAATTGTTTTACTAAATTCTTGTTTGTTAGCATTCCCGCATACACATTTGGCTCTTTAAAAAGAACAGTGAGATAAAGCTGTCGGTAAGACCGTTGACCGTGCTGACAAAATCACGCCACCCGATTATTATAATTAACTAATGTAAAATTAATAAACTACACAGCCCAACATAAAATATTCATTTGCTGATTTTTGCGCGCTTCAGGAACTCCAACTTTTATATTTTATTTATCTTCAACCACAAGTATTTTTGTCCAATCGCATCATGTGCTAAATTAGTCAAAAGCAAATCAAAATTCGTTTAAAAAAGAAAAAAATAATTTTCAAGTATGCGTTTCGACTTGGGCAGCCGGTTCAATTTTGAAAATCATCAGTCGGTTCACTTTGGTGATAAACTTTTCGTAAAATTAATTGATGGAAATAACGTGGCAATTTTTTAAATAGAGTGTTTTAAAAAATCAGTACTACTACTCTCGGTCCTTAATATAAAACTCATTTAACTAATTTAATTAGATTAAAGAAGTTAGGTAAGTTAGTTAATTATAATAAATGTGACATATTTTTCCTAAAACCACCATAATATCCTTTCTTAATATCTTCTCTCCCTCTTCTACTTAATTATGGTGAGGAAGTATCCATCGGGGTAAATTTAGAGAAATTGATAAATATGAAAAATGGGTCTTATATTTATGACCAAACTCATGGAAAAAAAACCGGACCGGACCGGCCGGTTCGACCGGAAAAACCGGTGAACCGGTCTGCAGTCCGGTCTGGTTCAGGAGTTGAACCGGATCCTATCGAACCGGTAAAGACCGGTTGAACCGGTCAATAACGGTACAAAACCGGGTATCCCGGTTCACTGGGTCA